CTGCTCAGCAACCTGCAACATGCCTTTTTTGAGCAGAATTTTAGACGAAATGGGTGCGTTTCCTGACCGGTGGGTGTATCCCCGCACAGGGCGAGGCCCTCGTCGTACGTGCAACCTGCTCGCGTGCTTAGACAGACAACAGAAAGAGGCGTAACATATCAGTCCTCCTACGCCCATCACGTTGAGCGGAGGGGGCTTGTGGTCTGTCTACACAATACCTAGGAAGAGCAGGCGGAGACGGGGGTGCAGAGGCAGTTTTTGTGATGGGGCGAGACGCAAGAATGAGGGGCGGGGTGTGAAAAAAACGTATAACATTCCACTCCCTTCGGCATACTGCACGATGACAGGGTATACTATCGACTGTCTACTTTGCAGTTATGTTCTCTCCCACTCTTGTCCAGACGTAATGCGGTTCGACAGAGAAGGTGGACAACCTACCTTATCAGTTATTACATCATGCGTCTCACTCTCTCTCTCTCTCTCTGAGCTAATTCCAACGAGGAGGGGAAGGCCAGAGTTTGATTATGGCATTGGCTATCATCTCCGTTTGAACGCACTTTAGGCCTAAGGTGATATGTCCTTTGTCCGGCCTACGAATAATTTCGACGTCATGGCTCCGAGAGCTGTTCCAAATGCATCCCCTCGTAAATGAATCAAGGGAGTAGAGAGATCTTTGTAGCAGGCATCCGTACCGTCGTCAATTTGGTGTTGCTACGTGTAAGCGTTACGTGTAGACAGGCTTGACCAGCACAATAGGTGTTGTTCGAGGGGCGCACGCAGTACTAATCCCACGCCTTAGGAGGAAATGTTGGCACGCCTGGGTGCGAGCTCGCACCGCGCTGCCCCGTATCTTTTTGATCTTTTCGCCGGACTCAGGAGGGTAAACAGTGGAAAGAGCGTGATCGTTGATGAGTAGATCAACTATTTTTATGAAATAATTCGCACACAATCTACTCTCACAGCGCCCATTCTGGTGTGGGCCATACGGATAGTCAAACTGTCAATGCTCGTTTACCGGGAGCGTTTGATCCGAAGCTCAATATTCATATGAATGGGTGCATAATGGTTCAGCAGGCTTGATGGTATCTTTATTTTGTTGTCTGGTGGAAACGAAGGGTAATATTGAGTCATGTCGAACGCGTCCTTCTTGTAAGTAGGTGTCAATCGAAAATGACCCGGTAGTTTTAAGCATAGCTCACTCGAGGAGGGACCGAACTGATGACCATATTGGTTGGTAGTCCTGAGTTTGCGTGAGCCATGAACTATTGCTTTGCATGCATGTGACCTGTATTAGACGGAAGCTTTCTGCCCCGCGGCTACTGCACATAGACTCATACCTAGCTGTTCTAATTTCCACACTGTAAGGAAAGATAAAAATATATTTATATAGGTGTTTGCTGTACTCGTCACTGACATCAACCTTCAGCGTTTGATATTAAAATGATGGGTTAAACGCCGTGACGTTGAAGGCTGTCGGCCGATCTGACAACTCAGTGATCCCCAGGAACAAAGATCTAACTGCAATGCTAGCCGCACAGTGCAAATTTTTTGGTATTTTTCACGCACATCCGATCTGAGACAGTGTGTAAAACGCGTTGGGCAGCAAAGATGCGTCGTCCACTGCCAAAATCTCACCAACCATTGCCTTGATCGGTTTGTAAAGCACGGTTTGGATTATGTGTTTGCATGGCCATTGCAAGACGGTGTTCTGCTTCATAATCAGAAATCAGTCAAGTTTGCGTCTTGACTGCGACTCGAGCTCTCTGTCCTTCCTGAATTATTGGAATTAGTTGTCAATTAAATATGAATCTTCCGGCATTTTATATTTACAATGTCTTTACATCTTTCACTCTCCTTTCATATCGCAAAAACCTATTTACCAAAGTTAATAGGCCGGTTGATTGTATTTTTCGGCTAAATTCCTATCGCACACCTCAATCCCTAATCTGGAGAAGTATAGATGCCTGCACTCGCTCCATTATTCTTGTTCTCTTGCTGGTTTTCCTGTTTTGCTTAAAAAAGAGATCCTCGTTCGTAAGCGCGTCCTGTGAGTGCTCTCTTTTGTCACTGGACTTTCTTATATTTTTAAGTTTATATAATCCTACATCGGCATTACACAATGGTCCGGGACTTTCTACTCACACGCTGGATGATGCTGTTCACAGCCATTTCACCCTGACTTAATTGCTACAAAGTCTCTCTAATCCTTGCACTATTGCTTCCGGCATAGTTCTTGCCGTATATCGGTCCCTCAATATTCAGTATTGCCACTGCTAGCATGGTATCCTGCGTATAAGGAGCTCGATATGCAGAATATGAGACTTGCATTCTGGCCACAAGGACCAGAGGACATTTTCGCTTAAAATGTTCGACTAATACTTTTGAAATAAACATATTCTTCTCCTTTTTCTCTTGCTCTCTCTCTAAAGGCCACGTACGCGAGGGAGAAAAAGAAAAAGTTGGGGTCAGTTCGGCTCCTATCAAGCATTTAGTTTCCCCTATAAGTTAAGTGGCGGTCTTCGGAATTATTCTGATGCTTTAACAGGTGTGCTTTTGGAAGTAGTAACATGATAGACCAAATCCTTCCTACGTAGATCTATGACTCCGACTTCAATGTCCCCTACCTAATATAAATCTCATAGGAGTTTCCCTATGCAGAGTCAGTGAGCAGGTTATATATCTCAGAAATATTTCATAAATGTCACCATGCGCTCAAGAGTCAAATAGGAAAGTAGCGAAATGCTTAAACGCTGTTGGGAAGACCGGCCTACAATTTTTTAGATGGCGGGGCGTTAAGACGAAACATCAATCTCGCATGAAGGCAATACTACGGGCTTACACCGCAAACACCTTATCTGTATCAACATACCAACGCTGTCACCTGAAGGTACAGACCAGAATCGACTTTAGTGAATATCTTCGGATGCACTGTAATTTTAATATAGGTGACATATGTCCACGTCTGCAAACACTATGATTATCGGTATAACTAAAGACATGCCTTCTATCTATCCACACTGGAAAGCCTCGTTTAAATACCAGTGCGCTCTGTTCAGAGACGACCATTTCAACTAAAATAGGAACGTCGGCAGGACAGACACCAGCAATACTGATACCGAGTTAGCAAGCTCCAGGTGGAAACTATTCTTCGAATCATGCATCAAGCTAGTGTGTCAGAAACTCTGGCCAACATCCATACCAAATGGCTACAACCCCATAGTGTGAACTCCATTTTGACAGTTCGTCCTTTAGACCCTCATAAATTCTAACCAAGAAGTATTACTTACATGCAAAGGGTACGTCGAAGGGGCCATTTTGGCTCATTCGCAGACATCAGCCAGCCATGTATCAGCCCCCCAGACGGAAGGACCCAGAGACTGCTTGCCATTTAAACACTGAAGCAAACGCTAGGTACAGGACCTGTCCCCCGCGATCCGAAATACGCGGCATGACATGAAGCACGTGCTCATAAAACAATTTTTATTGCGGGACAAAGGTCGGGCTTGACCTTGAGCTCTACTCTAGGACTGCATGGTCAGCCCGATGTGTTTTTGTTGCGTAAAATGGCTGACCATCTGACTGAGTCAGGCTACAATGACTTTTTCTTAATGTGGTCGTTATTGCACTGTCATGTAGGTAAGATCTAAGTTAGGTGTGGTGGCACTCATAGAGACGGCTCAAGCCGCGCCTACCACCTACGCCCGCCTCCGATATTCTTGACCCTGTTTTGATATCGAGTTCGGGCGGTAGATGTAACTCCAGTCTACTATCACTTAAAAGTAGCTCACGTATAAGTCATCATGCTGGCCTCAGTTTGTTGACGCACACAGTGGGCCTAGTCAAAACCGACGGCTGAACTGTATGACTCCGCGCAGATAGTCACACAAATAAGCAACGAGTAACAAATGAGTATAAATTATTGTTTTATTTCTGCAGAAGTCCGCCAGTGGAAACCTAACCTCA